TAGAGTCAATAGTGACATATTGCCCACACATGTAGTGAGTTAGCCAACCAGGGCTGGGTGAGAATCCTGGCCACAGGGACCTTCACTTTATCCATACTGGCTATCATCTGAAATCACTTTTACTTGTATTTTTTTATAAAACATTTCTTACCTCACACTTTTATGAAACCTGAAAGTTTAGAAAATATGGACTGTATTTGCCTTTCCAGCCCATATTCCAGGATGACATTTCAACCTTTCTTTTACCAGTTGCCTCAATTCCCTCACTTTTTCAACCTGCCAATGCACTCTTCTTGCTGGCCTTAAACTTTGGATTAATAATGCCAATGAGCTGGTCAGTCTCAGCTCCTACATGTGAGCTGTTGAGTGTACTGGTGAAGTTCTCAACCACAGCAGCATGAACCTACAGTCACTAGAGAAGTTTTCATAGCTGTCTTGCCAATGGGTTTCAGCCCCGGGCAAGTTCGCTATGGATTCAATGTGACCTTTGAAATTGACAGCAAAACGTTCTTGGGGTGAAAGGGTTATACCCAACTTTATTTCTAGGTGGCAGGTCAGTCACTAGTATCCCATTCACTCAGAGCGAGTCTGCATGCAGCAAGCTAGTCTCTGCCTCTGGGCCCCTCTGCCCACACAGCCGTCCTCTGGGCCTCTCTGCACAGTCGCCCCACACAGCCATCCTCTGGGCCTCTGTCCTGGGCGCTGCCACCACTCCAGCCTCTGCTCTCCTGCAGCCTTGCAACCATGTCACCATATAGCCCAGAGCACTCAGTGGAGCTCTTTATATAGAGTCAACAACCATGTAGTGTCCACAGGTGTGCAGTGAGCTAGTCAGCCAGGGCCAGGTGACAATCCTGGCCGCAGGAACTCTCATTTTATCTACACTAGCACATGACAAAGTGTCACTGATCAGCAAAGCTCATGCTTCCATCCTTTAAAATAGACTCCAAATTTCTACCACTTTCTATATAAGAATAAATACCATGAGAGAAATGAAGAATTTAGTTACTGAAAATGGGCTTATGGTAAATTTTACATAAAATTTCATAGTGAAATAAATAAGATTTGCAATGTTTTAGCAATCACTCTACAGTACCAACGATAGATCTTGAAATCTTCACCAGAGTGAAGATAATGAACATACCCATCACTCTCAAAAGCTTCTTTGCTACCCTTCAGATTACTTTTGTTTGTAATATGTAAGTTTACATAATTTACTTTTGATGATGGCTGTGCTTAACAACCAGCTTGCAAAATTTCTAAAAATTAAAAAATCAATTCTTCAGAGCTAGTATGAACTGACTGTAGCACACAACTGATTTTCTTAACTCTCATTCTCCTTTTTCCAGTTTAAGGAATTTCAGTTCCTTCAACTCTTCTTCATTTTACCTATTTTTCAAACCTTTCATCAGTTTTAAGCCTCTCAATTAAGTGACCGAGGTCAGAACTACATCTAGAGAGTCCCACAGTATAGGTTACAGAGTTAAAAATGAAGCCAAGTTGTAAATGTTAAAGGGAAAGAGAGCATGGGGCAATTTACTAAGGCTTAAAAATTAGAAGCTGCTGGAAAAGGGAGCTCAACAGTAGGAAGAGACCCTGTGGATAAAATGAAAGTTCCTGTGTCCAGGATTCTCACCTGCACCTGGTTGGCTAGCTCACTACACACGTGGGGCAATACATTGCTATTGACTCTATATAATGAGCTACACCCAGTGTTCTGGGCAACACGGTGGTATGGCTGCAAGGCTCCAGGAGAGCAGAGATGAGACTGGAGTGGTGGCAGTGCCAAGGACAGAGACTGAGACCACTGTGGGGGTAGAGAGGCCCAGGGGCAGAGACTGGCTTGCTGCATGTCTGAGTGGCCGGGATTCTAGTGATAGACCTGCCACCATGGGAATAAAGTTGGGTATAAACCCTTTCACCCCAAGAGCATTCTATTTTCATTTCTTTGTTCACCTTGAATCCATAGTGAACTTGTTCAGGGCTGAAAACCATTGGCAAGACGTTGGCAGGGTTCATTGTTGACCAAGGAAAAAGAACAGGCTGCCTTCATGGAAGCAGTGTTTCAGCAGGCTGCACCTATAAATGGGGAGACACTTGAGTGTCCCCCTGTGGACATGTGGTACTCTAAAGGGGTGGAGGACTGGCGTCCACCCTAAGAGAAAGAAAATTTGTTGCTGTGGATAAAATGAGAGTTCTTGTGGCCAGGATTCTCACCTGGCTGTGGTTGACTAGCTCACTGCACACCTGTGGGCACTACATGGCTATTGATTCTATAAAAAGAGCTCCACCCAGTGCTCTGGACACAATATGGTGGCAGGGCTACAAGGCTGCAGGAGAGCAGAGCAGAGGCTGGAGTGGTGGCAGTGCTGAGGACAGAGGCCCAGAGGGCAGCTGTGTGGGATGACTGTGCAGAGAGGCCCAGAGGACAGCTGTGCAGATGGAGGGGCCCAGAGGCAGAGACTGGCTTGCTGCATACAGACTCGCTCTGAGTGAATGGGATTCTAGTGACTGACCTGCCACCTGGAAATAAAGTTGGGTATAACTCTTTCACCCCAAAGAGCGTTCTGCTATCAATTTCTTTGGTCACACTGAATCCATAGTGAACTTGCCTGGAGCTGAAACCCATTGGCAAGACAGTTGCTGATTGAAATGGCGTCACTACGAAGTGCTGTGGAAATAGTAAAGGATATCGTGGTAGCCTGAAAGGAAGCAGCACGAGAAAGAGCAGTGGCCTGAGAAGGAGCTGCACGAGAAGAAACAGTATGGGAGTGCAGGCTGCCAGGTGCCATGGGGCACGTGAAGGAAGAGGCCCGAGAAGGAGCAGCACAAGAAGCAGCAGCACGCAGGCCACCAGGTGCTGTGCGGCAGGTGAAGGATGTAGTGGAGCCATCAGCCTCAGAAATGGAGGAGCGGAAGTTTGATAAACAGATGGGGGTGGAGGCTCTGCCAGTTCCGGAGGCATCAGCTCCTCCTCAGTTGAGACCCCACCTGGTTGAATGTTGGTGGAAAGCCAGAAAGACTCGGCAACCCCGGGTTCTTTCAGGAGAGGTGCAGCCCCATCCACAGTTTGTGGAGCACTCCATGCTCTACTTCTATCCTCAGGCTCAAGCACAGAAGGAAACATGGGCTGCTTCTTGAAGGAAGAATTTAAAAGGCCCTGTGAAGGTCATGAGGTCCCAGATGTGGGTTGGTTTGAAAAGGCAGGAGCAGACAGAAAGAAATTGGAAAACTGGAGCTGTAGCAACAACCGAGACGGGAGCAGTGGTTCTGGCTGCTGAGGACAAAGCAGAAGGCAGAGATAAAGCAACAAGATTAGCCTGTGTGTCTGCAAGACTTTTTGCTGGAGGGGCTGGAGAAGGTGGGTGTTGTAAGGCTCACCCATGGTCCTTTTGGTTAACTCACTTGAGTAGAACTGGTTTGAATACAGTCAGGATGATCACTTAGTGGCAGTGGGTCTCCTCAGACTTGAGGGTTATTATACATACTTTGTTAGAACTGGTTTGAATACAGCCACGATGCAATGGATCTTCTCAGGTTTGAGGGCTATTATAATTTGTTGTAATTTTTATTATTTGTATATTGTCATAGCCTCTGTTGTTATTATGGAATTTGGTTACAATGCTCCAGCTTTCTCACACAGGGACCATTACAGAGGATTGAGGGCACATAGATTGAGAGGAGAGAATCCTGGAGGGGTGGAGTATGGATAAAATGAGAGTTCCCGTGGCCAGGATTCTCACCTGGCCCTGGTTGGCTAGCTCACTCCACACTTGTGGGCAATACATTGCTATTGACACTATATAAAGAGCTCTGCCCAGTGCTCTGGGCTACATGGTGACACGGTTGCAAGGCTTCAGGAGAGCAGAGCAGAGGCTGGAGTGGTGGCAATGCCAAGGACAGAGGCCCAGAGGCAGAGAGCGGCTTGCTGCATGCAGACTCGAGATTTTAGTGATTGACCTGCACCGTGGAAATAAAGTTGGGCATAACCCTTTCACTCCAAGACTCTTCTACTGTCATTTCTTTGGTCATACTGAGTCCATAGCGAACTTGCCTGTTGCTGAAACCCATTGGCAAGATAGACTCTTTCTAACCAAGTGACCCTAAGGAGATCAGTCTGAGGATGTTGGGAGGAGGAAGGAAGCAAAGCAGGTTATTCAATTCTGAAGTGGGCCTATTTTTGCATACTGTGCTTTCAAAGGCACCACTTAGCAGTACCACTAATTGAATTCAATCCCACTGATCATTTCAGGTACCAAGCCCATTGGGCCTATAACTACCCAGGCATAATGGCTGTGGATGTCATAGAGATAATTTGAAAAGATATTTTCCTCTACTGCTTGAGTGAAACATGGAGAAAAAAATCTGAGCATCCCCATGATTTCTTATTCCAGGTTAATAACTTCTTTTCCCTGACTGTTATGGAACCTAGTCCTCATCTATGTGTGTTTGCTTTATTGAGTATCAGGAAGATGGCCTGATTTGAAAGATTGCCCTTGATTCTTTGAGCAGCTGGATCCAAGTCATTCACTCTCTTGCCATAATTTTTCCTTAAAACACTCCTAAACTGTACCTAAGATTATTGCATATCTTTATTTTGCAGTAAAAATAAAGTCTTCTTTTTACAACTGCTAGTAGTGTTTAGGTTAGCTTAACCAAATGCATGTTTAGGGATGCTTAGAGTGTCCTATGTGCAAATGGTTCTTTTGGTGATGGTTACTCATATACATTACTCTGGCCAGAGATGAATGTGGGTTTTGATTGTTTAAGAATGAAATTATAGCATTTAAACATAATTAAAGTTTTAAATGCTTATTAATTTTAATACTAATTAACTTTTAATACATATTGAAGTCTAAATACATATTAGATTTTAAATAACATTTTAAATTAGTTTGAATATAAAAGGATAGAAAAGAAGTTAAACTGCAAAATCTGTATTACAAAACTAACTCATATCAATGCAGTTCTCCAATTTAAGAATATTTTCCTTTCAACAGGGCTTTTCTTGTCCTTCAGAATACTGGAAAAAATGATCCTTGTGTTTCTTATGAATGTGAAGGACTCTTCTGGCTTTGGTTTAGCATCAGCAATATGGGTAACAGTGTTGGGGAAAACTGGACCCTCATCATCGTCATTTCATGAGAAGGTGATGGAAAACGCAGGTACGCTTTTTCTGGTGTTGAACTTTTTCCTAAGCTTGTTACCATGGCTTCGAAGTGCATCAACAGGTAAGCCCCTTCACCTGCCATGCTTCACATTTCTAAACCCTTTCTGTCCTCTAAGTCCTTGCTATTTAAAATGTAGTGTGTGGAAGAGCAACCTGGGTTTCACCTGGGATCTTATAAATGCAGATCCCTGGGCCCATCCAGACCTGCTGAATCAGAATCCACATGGTTGCAAAATCTGCAGGTCATTCATGAGCACAGGAGAATTCAAGAGGTGATCATTTGCAGGGACTTTCCCCAATAATTTTGCTCCACAATGATTAGCATCTCTTTTTTTTCTGAACTCCCACTTTGCCTTCATCTGTTTTATATAATTTAGCACTTGATTATATAATCCTACGTTTCTCATACGCAAATCTCATTTCCCTGAAAATATTGTGACTTTCTAGATCAAGGGTTGACAAAATTCAGTAAAAAGCCAGATGGTATTAGGCTTTTCAGGGCACATACTATCTCATTTGCACATTCTTTTTGGATTTGTTTACTCTTCGAACATGTAAAAACCGTCTTAGGTAGAGAGCCCTACAAAAACAGGGTCCAGACTACATTTGGTCTGTGGGCAGTTTGCCCAGCCCTGCCCTAGGTGGCAGGGCCAGGGTTGTGTGCTGGGCTCTTGATACAGTGCTGTAACAAAGTTTTGCAATCATTACTTATTATTCAAAGATTTGTTAAAGTCATTTCATATTCCCTTCTGCCTTATGTTCAAAAACATTTTGAGGTAAGGTTTAGGAAAATTTATCCTAATATTAATAAAAAGTATTTAAATACTTTAGAAAAAAATCTATTAATGAGAATGGAAAATTTCAAAAAATGTCATATTTTCTCTTATGGATGCCAAGACAAAAGTAAATCATGAGTCTCCATTTGGTCAAATAATGTAATCATAATCCCTAATTTTTCATTAAGACCATATTCATAAAGAAATGCAATATTTATTCCAGCCCAATACAAGTACATCAATAGCAAAAAAGAATAATGGTAATGCTACAGTAGTTTAAAATTTTTTCTGGCAGTGTCTATTTTGTGACTTGATCATAGTAGTAGTCTTTAGTCTCTAAGTGCTTGTTAGATTGCAAGTTAATATCATTATGAGCCATCCCTTGTGCTTAAGGGATATATCCATCAGAATTAATTTCTTGATTACACTAATAGTTAAAAAGATCAAGCAGTATTAACAAGAGAGGAATGACAATCTTCCAGGAAAAGCAGCAGTGTAACAAATATATTACATATACCCCCCTTACCTGCCACACACACACACACACACACACACACACACACACAAACATACTGACCTGTATTACTGCTTTAGGCAATATTGAGGGGCAAAATGAGCTTTCCGTTCAGGCTGTTATTTTGTGGATTTTTTTTTAATCTGGTAAGAAAACTAGTAATAAGCTTTTTTTAAGACCAGAAAAAATATAGTTTTCCTGGTAGGAAGAGCAAAAAGCATTACTATTATGTATCCTGAAGACAGTTTCTTTCATTAGTATCAGAAGAACTGGATTGTGCTTGAAGTTCTGAATTTAATTAAGGTTACACAGAACATATTTAAAATTGTGAAAACATTTCTACTAATGCACAGAACATACTTAAAATTGTGAAAACATTTGCTACTAATGTATTTTTCTTAACACATTGTTCGTCTATATAGATTATATAATATTCAAGATTTAAAAGCAGATTATTTGTGTTTATAAATCTTTTTAAGCTTAAATTTCCCTTGATATATTTACAAGAAAAGGGCCTTTAATTTACATATGCTTTAATAATAATAGCTAATCTACAAAGAATTAGTTCAAATGACACTATTTTTGTTTGGTTTCCCACAATACTTTTTTTTGTTTCCACTGAAGGCTTTCCAAATTTTATTTCAATATCTTTTTTTCCTTTCTGGAGTTATATTTAGTACTCTGAGACCACTGTAAACTGAATGTAGTTGACCTCACATCCCAAAAGCATTAGATAACCTTGATCATTTTGAGATACCCCTTTTGCAGGTATCTGCTAGGTTTTTGGGAGTAGAAACTTGTACTTTTCCAGGTTGGGATGGAGAAAGTTGCTCTGAAATGTGTTCATGACTGTCAGGATTAGGTCTTCACAAGAAATGGTCTGGGGGACTCATTCAAGATGATGCTAAGGCAGTGACAATCAGTGAATGTAATTCCAGAGGTCAAAGGGCATGACCTCACATTCTAATTAGTGTAATTGTGTTTGGGAAATTCCATTTTTTCCCCTTTATGCAGACACGTGAATGTGTAAGTCCCCTAGAGCTATGGCTATGCAGACTCAATCTAGTAAGGTGAAGAGGAAAGTAGATACTAGTTTTGTATTGTGGCTATCTTGGACCCACTTAAATAATGGCAGTGAGATAGCTTGCCTCAATTACTGCTTACGCACACAACACATTCTATATATAGAGGGACCATGTAATTTAACACCCAAACCAGGACATTTCTGATAGTGAAAAGGGATGCTATTGGCAATTTTAGCTAAAAACATGTAGACCAGGGATATTGGTTAATGGATTAATGTAGTATGTTGAAGAATGAAAGAACACCATCCAAGTTTTTATTAATAGATTTTACAAGGTCCTAGATCTTGAGAAGGAAACTTAAGAAGGAGGTGGTATATGTGAAAAGATGCTCCATATTGCTAATTATCAGAGAAATGCAAATTAAAACCACAATGAGATATCACCTCACACCAGTAAGGATGGCCAACATAGAAAAGACTAGGAACAACAAATGCTGGCGAGGATGTGGAGAAAGGGGAACCCTCTTACACTGCTGGTGGGAATGTAAACTAGTTCAACCATTGTGGTATGGAGAGTCCTCAAAAAACTAAAAGTAGAAATACCATTTGACTCAGTAATTCTGCTCCTAGGAATTTACCCTAAGAATGCAGGAGCCCAGTTTGTAAAAGACATATGCATCCCTATGTTTATCACAGCACTATTTACAATAGCCAAGAAATGGAAGCAACCTAAGTGTCCATCAGTAGATGAATGGATAAAGAAGATGTGGTACATATACACCATGAAATAGTATTCAGCCATAAGAAAACAAATCCTACCATTTGCAACAACATGGATGGAGCTATAGGATATTATGCTCAGTGAAATAAGCCAGGCGGAGAAAGGCAAGTACCAAATGATTTCACTCATCTGTGGAGCATAAGAACAAAGCAAAAACTGAAGGAACTAAACAGTAGCAGACTCACAGAACCCAAGAATGGACTAACAGTTGCCAATGGGAAAGGGACTGGGAGGATGGGTGGAAAGGGAGGGAGAAGGGGAATAAGGGGCATTATGATTAGCGCACATAACGTAGTGGAGGGGGGCATGGGGAAGGCAGTATAGCACAGAAAAGGCAAGTAGTGACTCTATAGCATCTTACTGCTGATGGACAGTGACTGTAATGGGGTATGTTTTGGGGACTTGATAATGGGGGGAATCTAGTAACCACAATGTTGCTATATATATATTAATGATATGAAAATTTAAAAAAAATAAAATGGAGCTGGTTTATCAAGCATTGGCTTTGGAGACATGCAGTTTGTTCACATCCTAATTTATCACTTGATGTCTGTGTGATCTTGGCAATATTTTCTAATTGTTCTCTTTCAGATTTGTATTTATTAGTGGGAATAATAATCATTACCAACCAAAGTTGTTTTAAGAATTAAAAAGCTGATATATGTATAGCATTTAGCATGGTCTCTGGTATGGAACAAATAATAAATAATTGTTCTTTGTTATTGTCCCTACTTGACTGGAATCTAGTCCTATGTATAAGAATAATGATACAGCTGCAGTCTAGGTAGAAAGAGCATTTGGCTTCTTGCTCCATACTTTCAGAGACAACCCCAGCTGGTGTCCCATGATCAGTCAGTAAGCTCTTGCCATGGACTCCCTTCATGAACACTAGTCTCTTGGAAATGTTTTGGCTGATCCATGAGGGCCAGGGCCTACTACTTGAATAGATTAAGGCTTATGTGGCCAAATGACCCAAATTTCCAGGATATTTCCCTGATGCTCTGCAATGTTTATATTCTTGGGGATAAAGATGGAAGATGTCCAGGTTACTTATAGATCTGTATATTCCACAGTTCTCTTTGCTGGGGAGCCCAGGGGAGCAGAGGCCAGCAGTTTGCTCATGAAAGTATTTCAAGAATTTTTAAAGCCATTACTAATATTTAACTTATATAAACACTAGCTAAATTATATAAAAAACAATGTTAATAAATACTCAAAACTCATCACGTCCTAATTTACAATATTTAACTATGTCTGTGCTTTTGAGCTTATTTGTGTCCATTGTGTCTATATGGTAGACTATTGCACAGTGGTCTGCTACTGACATTGCACATCTGCTCTCTACTCTACATTCAGTGATGTCACCTGGGAAGATTGAAATCAGCCATGATGGGAATATTCAACCCATGGAAATAGATGAATACTACAAGTCACAGCTTGATTTATTGTTTGTTGATTGTCTAGAGTTTGGAAAGTGATAGGGAAAATTCAGATTAAATTTACAAAGTATGCCTTGACTGCAACCAGTACAGCATGAATAGCACAAAAAATTGAGGAAACATCTCTTTTAATATTCAAAAACAATTCTTCCATTGAGCAAAGAAGTCACTCAGATCATTGACAAGCTATTAAAGTTCCTACATATATCTTTGTTGTTCAGCTTTCTCATTAATAAAAAGTACTATGTCAATGATCATTCACATCAGAATTTTACTCTTTCTTGTCAATCATAGTCATAGGTTGGCTATGAATATAAGAATTTACCAAAGATCTATAAAAGCATTCTGTGAGATTCCATTAGCTATATAGAATTCACAGTAAAAAGTATTATATATTTTATTATTATTTGCAAATTGTGTGGTATAAAGTATCCTTCATATCAGTAAATATAATAATTGTG